CACACACACACACACACACACACACACACACACACACACACACACACGTTAATTAAAACCTCTCTGTGAACTGTAAAACAGTGAAGGAGACACACAAACAGAAAAAGATCTGTGAATGAAATAAATACATTTAAGTGCAGTAAAAAAATAAATAAATAAATAAATAAAATAAATCAGCATCTGCTCCTGGAATCAAAAGCATAAATTTGTCATTAATATTGCAAGTTATTGTCCATATAGATGCACATATGGTTAGTTGCAGTCTGCCAAATGGATGTAATGTACTTCTTCTTGGTGTCAATGACAAGTTTAACTAATTTGTACTTTAATTTAAACGTGAAAGACAGAATAGTTTGTTTCTCCTACTTCTAAAACGTATCCGCCCTTTTTCCAATTTTGTTGTTTTGACTGTGTGCTGCTAACTGACGGCCTCGATGTCCGAGTCCACATGTCTGTCTGTGCCTCTGACAGTTATGTAATCTGTGGCGGCAGAATGTAGAGCTTTAATCTGGATTAACTGAGGTGGATTATCTTGCTGCCGGACACAACAGACTGCTACACGAACACGAACACGAACACCCACACGATGCTGTTTCTGGGGACAGATTGACTTTAAAAGTTGCAATATTGGATTTTAGTGGAACCAAAATTCAACAGATTATGAAGCAGTCGTTAGAAGATATTCTCTCTTTCTGCCTTTCACAGAAACACTTTGTTCTACTACTTTCACGCTGTACTTCTGGAAACAGCACTGTGTCAAATACACACAATTCCCCCCACACACTCTTTAGACGCTGATCCATAACTAAATACTACATTTCAAATGCGTTTATGAATGAAACTTTGTGTCCATGCAGAGCAAGGAAGCTGTTTGCTGACTCTCATATGACGCAGCAGAAATACATTGAACCAATCAACATTCATTTTCAGAATAGTGTTTTTTTCCCCCACTTCATAACTTGCGATATTCATTTTACCTGATTGAATGATGTCAAGAGCGAGAGATTTTCACAAACTGAGTCGGATTAGCCTTGTATTGTTGCAGGACTTTTGTGGAAGGTAAATCAAGACAGACGGGTACCACACAGCACCAGCAGCGGGACGAACATGTAACTTTACACACCACCCAAGAAATGCGAATACATTCAGGTAATTATATCACTTATGTTCGTAGTGGACATGTGATGTAAACTGTATCTAGAAAACACAGTTTGTTTTACAGAATGGAAAAGAATTACTGTACCTGCTGTGAGGTGTCCTCTCTCTTGATGTGGCAGCATTATAAGACAGGTGAGGACAGTGTCAGGTTAGTGAAGACGGACAAACACTAGCTATCCACTGACAATAGTTACAATAACACAATTCTGCTAAAAAGGTACTTAAAAATCTAAGGGGCTCAATACTAATTGCAGCAAACACATTCACATTTCACACAAGTGTAGCACTACACACCAGCAGGCCTTTCTATAGTAAGTAGCTATTTCTTCATACAGTCACACCACTCAGCAGCAGCAGGACAATCAGATGTTTAACCCCCCTGCGGCTAAGACGGAAGCTGTTCATGTCCGTTAGTGCATCGAGTATTAAGATCCGAGTCTTTATTCATGTTCACATGGCCATGACAAGACCATAAACATGCCAGGAAGAGCACTGATTTAAATACTTTCTATCAGGTCAGTATTAATTGGAGGCAGGCAATTGCAAATTATGAAATTATGAAATGTTAACCGTTTCATTCATTAACTTGAACATGAAATGCACTTGAGAAATGGACGCAACATGCTAAGAAGTCAGCACAACAACCATCTCCACTTGAATTAGGTTTCTTAAGTAATGTTAACACTTCTAGGGTTTGTCCTAGGTATTTTGCTGGTGAATTTTAATTGAAAACTTAAAAGGAGAAGCTGCTACTGTATACAAGTAAACAGGACATAAGCACATGTTTGCTATTACAGTTCAGAACAGGCTGTGTGTTATGGGAGTTTCTATCAAGTGTCTGAAAGATGTAAATAGTGTTTGTAAGAGCCACATGTAGTACAGTTTGTCACCAAGGAAACCAAAAAGGCACGGTGTGTAAGCTGCTTCTTTTACTATCAACACCAATAGTTTGTGATGTGACCCACGAAAACTGGATGTTGGACAAGAAAGACCGTCCCTGTCATGTGATACACTGCTGTAGCGTCGCCATTTGTCAGGAATGTGAGGAATGCTGAAACAAGTTAATGATCCCAGTCATGGTTCACTGCATGAAATTGGTTAAAGCTCAGATCCTAAGCCGGGTGGATCGATGAGAAGTTTCAGGTCATGGCAGACAACATTTTAAAGCAATGTGAATAGGCAACTTTGCCAAAAGTTGCTAAGTGATTATCTTGTGCATGTAGGCCTATTATTCCACTAAAGTTGCCATCTACAGTACATTACTTCAAAACATGCTCATGTACATCACAGATGAACACCTTTTGAAGTTGCTAATCATGTTCTATGGACATACAATGCCAGGATTTTAGGTCATGAGTTTCCTCCGACACACCACTTTTTGACCAAACACCAAAAATAAAGTCTCTTGTTTTCATTATTTGGGTTTGTCGATTTTTATTTTTTTAGTTTACGTGTTCTGTATTTTGTCTGCCTATAATATTCCCCCAAATGAATAGATATCACCAAAAGGACCTGACCTTAGTGTCCTTAGAAGCAGCTACAGCTCTATTGTGACTTCAGGTTCCCCCGAGGTCAGTTATGGTGAGAAGAGATTGGGAGATTTTCTAATCTACAGGCTCTAGTTCTAGTCTATCCCTCTTCACCTGTGCCGTCCAGCTGCATATCCCAAGTGGTGGACATGGCCCAGCTGTCAGAGTGGGACATTGATGTCTCACCCCACTGATCATCCCCTGATGGGGAAGTTTTACTCCACTCGGTCAGCTTTTCCCCATTTGGGGCCACTGGAGCCAAGTCGTCGCCATATGAGCGTCTTTTAACCGATTCCTCGCCAGAGGGGTCAAACACAGCCTGATTCAAATCTGAGCAAAGTTAACAGTTGGAACACAGTTTCAGTAGACAAAACAGGAAGCGCTTGATTCATCTTATTGTGCAAGTGATGAGTCGCCTTTCAATGGAGTTTTACTTAATTGACAAAAAAAATACAGGAAGTTCCCTCTGAGCGAGTTTTAAAAGAGAAGTCTCAGCTCCTGGAAAAGCAATCGATGGTTCATTTGTTACCGAGATGCCAATTCTATTTAACGTGGCACTAAACATCTTATGTCATTAAAGCTTTGCTTGCATACACTCTGTGTCTTCATCGTGCCCATCATACATTATACTAGTCATCATGTTCAGATGTATTACCTAGTGCATCCTTACATGTAAAGTCATACTTGAATAGTTCAATGATGTGCCATTAAAGGGGCATCAATTATTATGCTGTATTAAGATTCACTGTATGAATGTATTTGGGTCACGGACAGCCCTGACCTGAATATAAATTATCATATTATACAAATGATCTTTTGAGTCAACGTGTCTCTGTCTTCTCTTCTGTTTTAAATACGTCTCCTTGGGCTCTGGGAGATTTTAATGAAAATCTTTCACAATCTTATAGCTTTTTATAGACACAATGATTAATAAGCAGTTTATTAAAAAAAAAAAAAAATCATTAGTTGCAGCCGTGCTTTAGAGAAAGTCTTACTTAGACCCTGTGTTAAGTCACTTCTGAAGGTCAATTTATCTGAAATTGAAAACCTCAAGTTAGCGGAATGGCATTTCCTCCAATTTAAAATGATTAATTAAGACCACACTCACTCACTCTCCTGACTACTAGCGGTTATATTAACACTGAATCGCATGAGGAAAAAAAACTGCTGCTGCACTGATATTTCAATTTAAAAAAAAAAAAAAAAAAATCAGTCAAACACGCTGCACTTCCTCCAACATCCCAGTCAGTGATCATCAGCCGTCCCTTCCTGTGATGTGGTCTGTGTGCAGCAGCAGCATCCTTACCCACCTTGTGATTCAGCGTGGATCTATTATCTCATTATTTATTTATTTTTTTATCTGGGAGAGATGAGTCTTACCCTGCTCTCCCTGGTGTTTGGCCGAGTTAACCCATTCCTCTCCAGGTCCCATGCTGCCCCAGTCCACCACTGCTTCACTCAGAACACCAGAGTACAACTCTGCAGCAGAGCAAGGCAGCAGGGCGAGAGGAGACAAGAACACTGGTTATACACACATGCACGAACACAGACAAACACGCACACACACACACGTGTTTCTCCAGTGTCCATCCCGGCCCTGTCAGTAACTCGATAACAGTGATGTCTGTTACAAGCAGCTTATCAGAGTCGGCATTGGCACAGGAACAGGAAGTGTTGACCCTTTGTGGTCTGAGCTCATTGGAGCCGTTTTAAAGAGGATTTTCCTGATTCATGCCACGGAGCAAACCTATATGCCCCTGCAGAGATAGCAATGGCATCTTTTGTAACAATTAACCAAGAATGCACAAAAAGGTTATTGAGCAATCCAAGTTCCCTGTTTGCTGATGAAATCTCATTACACCATACTCCGGCTCTGCAGGAGGAACAGACCGGCGTAAAGCCAGCGACAATGATTTCCTTCTGGTTAAACTGCTAAGCCCACGCTTTTAAGGGAGAAAAGGGTCACAGATTTCAGTGTGAAACATATGCGAGGTGGCATACAGTATCAGTCAAGTATCACGTTTACATTGCATTCGTTTTAGCGGATCAAAGCAGGCGAATATCACTCCGATAATATAGCACTCATTAGATCAGTGTGATATATTTCATGGGCTATCTGGCTTTACTGTAAAGTCAATGAAAAGTATCTATAGTCTCCATTCTCTGTTTCTCTCTCCCCCCCTCTCCCTCTCCTTTTCTCTGGGGTGAAATACCTTTGGTCATAAGACTCCCATTTGGCCCGCTGGTCATGTGGCTATGCTAAATCAGAGGCCTGGGGATGGTCATATGGCTGCAAAATCAATTGAAGTCGGCCTTCAACATGACCAACAACAAAAATACTGTACATACTGTAAATAAACCTTGTTCTGTCCACGTTTCAGATCTTAAATACTCCTGTAAAACACTTAAGAGGCCATATTTCCATTATAAATTCATCAAGATACACAGAGTTCACATTTATCAGGTTTAATGGAAAAGTTAAAGCTTTTAGCCCGCTGCAGCCTCTAACTCTCCACACAAAGTCCTGCTGACTCCCAGTTAGCCATATATATACGCAATAAGACCAAATGCAATTAGCTACCCACGTAAACAAACACTACCTTTATCCCAGGTAGTGAGATAAAGGAATCCCCATTCCTCAGTAAAACATTAGCTGACTGAAAGAGCAACAAACTGTTGCATGCACGGTCAACTGTGAGTGTACATTAAGAGTTGGGCGGGAATGATTCCAGTGAATTTGCAACAGCACCATCACTGTCAGCACTAAAACAGCACAAATATTACACGCTGTATTAATGCCGCTCGTGTTAGAACAACACCATGAAAGAGTTACATGTCCTTCAAAGCCAGATAAGGCTAAAGGACGTGGTTGGCACTGGACACACCTCTCACATTGCTCAGTGTTTTGCATTGTGCAAAGCAAGTGAAGACGCAGGAGTGGATCATAGCACAATGTTATGGATGCCAGGGATCAAGAGAAAATAGCTGATCTACAAATGACACAGGAATACCTGAAACTCGTGCATTTGAATGTTTGTATGTGAACGTTGTAGAAACATTGTACTGAAGAAATGATAAAATGATACATGCCAGTTTAAATATTAAACTAGAATTTAAGCGCACGTGCAGAATCAAGTTATCGCTCCAATTATTTTGAACAATTCCCAGTTTTTTTTTAATTTATAGCTATTATTTCTTCCTCCACTCCTGCAACCAGAAAACGGTGACGTGTGCAGCTTCATTATCAGATCAAAATAAAGAGTTGTCTTTAACATGAACACCGACTCTCACCTTGTTGTCTGGTCTCCATGAGCGCGAGAGCCGGGGAGAACTTCCCAAATAATCTCTTGAGACGAGACGAGACACACGGCAACACACGCGCAGCACCAGGCCGATAGCGGCTCCGGGTCGGCGTGTGTTTCCTCGGGTTATTTTGAGTGTCACGCGCTGGGCCAGTTTTTTTATTCAGGCGGAGCTTGGAACACGAGCCAATGGGCCTCGCGCTTTCGCAATTTGCATAATTCACTAGTAACTGAACATATTCTTTGATAGAAAAAAGTGCCCTCACCGGACACAACATTATTCAGTTTACTAATAAATAATCCGAAAAATCCGAAAAATCCGAAAAATTAATTCATAATAAGAAATTTGTTTCGCGGTGGCGGAAGTGTTCAGATCTTTTACTTGAGTAAAAGTCGCAAAACACCAGTGTATAAATACACAATTACAATGATGCTGAATTCAAAAGCTTACTAAAAATAAATGTACAAAATGAAAATGTATTTTAAGTGTCAAAAGTTTAAAGTTCGATCTAAATGCTGCAGAGCAAGGTCACTCTGAAGTGTATAGTGAAAATTACATTATATATATATATATATATATATGTCTATATCTATCTATATCTATCTATATATATGTATATATCACCCCATATATATATATATGTATGTATATATATGTGTATGTATATATATATATATATATGTATATGTATATATGTGTATGTATATGTATATATGAAGCATCACAAAATAAAAGCACTCAAGTAAAGTACCGGAAAATTGTACTACACACAGTACTTAAGGCAAATGTACTTTCCACAGCTGGTGTTTGTATAGAATGTTCCTTCTAACCCTCTTACACAATGTCTCTTTGTATTGTTGATCGCAGCTTGAAACATAAACAACTTCTACTACTACTAGTACTACTACTGCTAATACTAATAATACTAATACTAATAATACTAATAATAATACTAATAATAAAAACAATAAAGGGATTCACTTTTCAAACACAATTCAATTTGTTTTATAAATGCCATTATTTATTCGCAATTTAAATTACAATGCGTTTATAATAGTAATCTTAATCAACACTGTGATATTCTCTGTTACTCTGACTCTGCATCGCTCATAAAGAATGGAGGTTGTGTTGCTTCGCCTCCTGCGGTGCACTTGTGACCCCTGCTGACACAAAGCTGAAGTCACAGCGGTGGTGGCAAATAAAAAGAGACCAGAAGACATTCGTTCAGTATGCAGAGCTGACTGTCAGCGACTCAAAAACATGAAACATATCAGACAAACCCGTCAACACAAAGAACACGTCAATATCAGATAAAACAGTCAAACGGAACAGTTTGGCATTTGACCCAGTTTAGTTTATTCTCCGTCAGATCCTCAAAACAACGTGTGTGTGCCTGGCTAAGTGAGCAATAATAATAATAATAATAATAATAATATCATCAGCAGACGTTTTTAACAGAGGAAGCAGGTGGAAGAATCTGTTTAGTGCAAACAAGGAGAACAGTTATCGAGTCGAAGACATTTCTTTGAATAGAAATACCGTTGAAAACAAAGCGGCGTGTAGACATAAAAACGCTCAACAGGCCTCCTCAGTTGAAATGAAGCCACAACCTTTAGTCGCTACACTACACACTTGATTTGTTGAAAATGACACGTCTCTTTTTAAATGGTCACTTCCTTCATTGAGCGCTTTTTGTCCATACAAGACCCATTCAATGTTGGAAGCGGTGCTTGATGTGCTGCTGCTCGGTTTTAATCTGCCGAGTCCAAAGAGTGAGGTTTGTACCCGCCAAAATAAAGTGACAGTTGTGCAAAACGATATGAGTATTTTGGGATGCCGCTTACAAACATGTATTGTGGTGGTAGAGGTTTGGTTTAATCTTTAAAACACATTCTTAATTCAGGGCCTGATTGCACTGCACATTGCCCAGTGTCGGGGTAACAGATATATATTTATTACTTGAGTACATTTTTTTATACATTAGGGGCCCCATACTTCTATTTATTACACTCTGCTTTAGCTCTTCTAACACATAGTCTTTGGAGTCACACAGGGGCCCTGAAGCACAGGTTGGCACACCCTGATCTATAACAGCTGTGAAGGCACTCTTGCATATTTATGTCAATAATCACTGGGATTGTAACACAAAACAAAACAAAAAGGCCGGGGGGGTAATCAGCCAGCCAACACGCCCCAGCAAAGACAAATGATTGGCCAAAATAACTGATGTCACTGAATGAATTGCTAGTTTAGCTTTACCCAGTTACTCAGTGTTTACAGAAATGATGAAGTCAGTAATATGTAGTATTACAACAAAACAAAACAAAGATGGCATCTTAACACACATGTACATGTACAACATACATGTATAAACGTGAAAGAAATCAGACATGCGGCACAAAGACCGTCCTGTTATTATTCATTTATATTTCTCTCGTCGCAAATTCAGATTTAAAATCACTGTTTGACAGCAAACCTGTCAACCCATGCTCCTAAGATGTACTTTGTCCGACCAACTGTTTGGTGTTGTTACTCGATAAATGATGCAAATGATTGATCAATTGTCAAAGATGCCATCTGTTCATTGTCAGGCACCGAGCTAAACAATGAACCGATTCAGCGGCGGTGCAGCGTAAACGGCACGGCAACGTCTCTGGTAAAATGCTGTGGAAATAGTATAAAATAAAAAATACTAAAAGTGTGTAGCTACAGTAAATTAAACAGTTTTCACTCTGCTGATGCATCTCTGTGTTGAAAATCATTTAAAATACAAATATCCATCTATGTCCATCTTTCATTCAAACAAACAAAAATGCAGCATTTCAACATGTTAGTGTAGTGCTAGCCGAGCAGTCAGATAAAACCTGTACGCATATGATGCATGTGTGCACTTGTTAAGTAGAGTGTTTCAATCTTTTTGTTTGGCGTATAACTTCAGAAACTTTTCCCAGTGACGGTTCTACGGATACATATTTTCCTTCTTCCACGATTTTAGTCTGCTTGACTCCCAAAAGCAACGCTCACAATACGGCCGAGTCAGACCGGGAAACGTCTGCGTCGCTGAGATATTCGGGTCTCCTTCGACACGACAGTGTTTTGACTTTACTGGAATTAAACATGGTCGCTGTTCAGCGATTCCTGTGACACAGCTCATGTGGTCGGGCAGAGGGAACAGAAAGCAAACTCCCTGAGAGTGGATTCAAACCCAGAGACAGGACCTACTGAAAAGCAGTGTGTAATATATATATACAGTATATACGTCTTTGACAGCTGGTATTTATGAACTCCCAGATGTAGAGAATGTGTGATATCCCTGGGATAAAGAGAAGCTAACCATGCCCAGCATGCATGAACATCACCCCTGCTTCTCCTTCATGCTGTAAATCCTGGTTTCAGTGATGAAATCTGCTGCAACGCTCAGCATGAACTCCACTGGCAACCACAGATTTGAATCCGCTGATACTTCACTGATACTTTTTATCTTTTTATTCTTTCCTTGCTGCAGCATCTTCTATGTGCAGACATATTGTACTTCTCGTCATTTCATGCGTTTTCCTTTAAAACATCTTCGTAAAAGTCTCACGATGGAGTAAAAACACACCCAGAAACCAACAACAACCAACCTCTGTGAGTGATGTGGAAACCTGTGCTTGACCACAGCGTGCGCCGCAGGTAGCTCTGCGTTATCGTCACGTATATAAGAGGCTCAAAAGCGTCCCGTCTTGTTTCATCTTCGGATGATATTTGTGGCTGAACAGCAGCCAGCGGACGCTCATTTAGGAAGCTGAGGGCTGACAGCAAGGGGGGGGGGGGGGGATAGAGGGATAAGTGAAGGACGGCAATCTGGCTGCTGCCAGGTGACGACCTTTAAAGCTCTTGAAATTCTCCCGTTTCCTGGCAGCACTCTGCCTGTGTGTGCTTTCTTGCAGTTTGTGCCCGTTAAGTTTGTGTGTATATGTTAAAAAGCCACCGTGTCACTTTCCAAACTCTCAAGCAGACAGACGTCCTCAAGAAAAACTCTCCAAATGAGTTCTTAAAAACCTGATCACCTAATAATTAACATTGAAAATGTAATCCACCGCACATCTGCACTGCACAGCAGCCTGATGATTACCTCATTTCTTTAAAGAAACAAACACCCTGTTTAGCTCTCAAGCAAACCACCAGCCAGACTCCATAGAAATGAACAGTGAAACCATCAATACTTGTTTACCTATGCGTATTTGCGACAGTATGTTCAGTCGATTTAATCCTAAGCAGCTTTGCACTATCGAATGCATATTCTTACAATCTTACTAAGTCTATTTCTTCATGCAGACTCCGGTACGCACCGACAGCATCAGCACCCAAAACCTCTGCAACAAGCAACCGCTGAAAAGCAATAACAACGAAATCCAACAAAAAGGGGGGGGGGGGGGGCAGGGTCCACAATCAGGGTTTTGTTTTTGGCACAATTGCCGCACAGCAGCTGTTTTGTTGTTGTTGTTGTTGTTGTTGTTGTGATGCTGCAGATACTGGTGTACAGTGTGTGGGCCCCCCGGCAGAGACGACAGGGATGCGAGCCGCCGTCCAGCCAGGGCAGAGACCAAGAGGAGAAGTGAGGAAGTCAGGGACAGATAGAGGAGGAGGAGGAGCTGATGGAGAACCTCGACAGAACACGATGGAAGCTCGCCAAAATACCACTTTACAATATTTCCTTTAGCCGTTAGTGGGCTGAATGTGCGTTTGCAAAGCAGGACCCCTTCTTATAACGCTACAGTGGGTGTGCCCTGTACAACTAGGCGTCACTCTCAGGGTGGGGACACACGACCCAACTTTCTATGTTGCATCTGTGAGAACTAATCTTTTCCACCATGGCTTGGTCCTGAATTCAGTTTCCATCTTGACCTTTTGACAAAAGACTGACGAAACTTTTCGCTCAACAAGAAAGATATTATTTCCTCACATTCCTCCGCTATTAATCTGTGAGCTCCTCCTAATCGCTCTCCAGCAGTCAGCGTTTATAGTTTTGTTTCCTTCATCCACGACATCCACACAATAATATGTCGTCACATCAAGCCAACCGACAAGCTCTAAACAAACCTGCCTTGTTCTCCTGAGAGACAGCTGTTGTTAAATATATGACTGAAGAGTGCAAAACTTGCAAACGTACACGGCTGAAACTTCCCGTATTGTGTCCGAGACAAGAGGCGGCCGGAGAGAAAGTACTCGGCTTAAAATAGGTTGTGAAATTTAAAAGGGGATTCAAACACTTCCATCATGTGAAGAGCACTCAGGCCTTTTCTACTTGAATACCCAGCATTCCTTCTGCAGCAGTGGTTCCACCGCGACGCGATGACGTGCGATTAGCCAGGCATCGCTTAATATGTTTATTTCCCTTCCTTCCGCTCTAATTTAATTTGTTAATCTCGTGACGTCCCCCCTCAGACATTTGCCATGACTGGCGTGTTCATCCCTGAAGGAGGTGTGGGCGTCGTCTGGATGAAGTGCAGTGAAAGGAGAGCTTCAGTCAGATCCACCGTCCGGAGCCCTGTGTGCGCTGCTTCTTCCTCCTCTTGCACACGTAGTAGACCGGGAAAAATACCAATCCTGCAGGAAGAGAAGGCGGTTGTAGAGATGAGGGCTGAGAGTGGGAGACGGACGGATCAAAGCAAACAATTTCTTGATTCCTAATTATACACATTTAAATGAACTACTCATTAATGTACAATGTAAATCTGGAATTATCCATTAACGTCGAGCTCTGACGAGTGTTCCATATGGATTTGATTTGATTATTCCGTCTTACGGCACACTGCCTTCACATTTGGCGTATTTTGAAATTAATTGAGCTGAGAAAGAGAGCAGCAGCACGACACTGATTCTAACGACGATGGCAATAAATGGCGCTAAACACCGGCCTGCAGCGGCTCATCCGTCAGACGCACAGACACGGGAAAGAGATTAACACTAATTAGAGTTCAGCCGAGGTGTCGAAAGTTCACGATACTGTGTGACAGAGTGCTCAGAGAGAGCACTCGGATGATACTACTAGTAGATGTAGTTTCAGGAAGTAAGAGCCAGAAACCCAGAGAGTGATAATCTGGATCTACAGCTTTGGCATTTTAAAAACAAGAAGAGTTTACTTCTCTTCTCTTAGCGTGCGCCTGTGTGTTTGCGTTACCTATCACCAGGGCGAGAGCTCCGAGCACCACGACCAGCAAAATGACCACCGGGGCTATCAGCACCTTAGCGGCTGCAGAGAGAGAGAGAGAGAGAGAGAGAGAGAGAGAGAGAGAGAGAGAGAAACAGAGAGAGAGAGAGAGAGGTGGGAGAAGAACAATAATCATCCATAATGAATAAATGTTGCTTTCAGTTGGAATAGAAATTGTACGATTCAAAATGAAAGTGTTGTTTTCTTTCGTTTTTGTTTAAACTTTAATGTATCGCTGCTAAATATTCAAGATGTTTGGCCACCAGTGCATCCCATTTGGTCTGTGGAGGAATGCTGAGCAGATTTAAGGGAAAAAAAAATGTCTCCCACCCACATTATTAAGACGTTGCTTTATTACATGCCAAACGTGTGCCGCTAACAGTCCGCGGCATGGAGCCGTGACGGCTAAGTGGTTCTCGTTGAGGGACAAATTAGCTCCAGTTCAGCAGGCGCCCTGCTGAGATAACTAGCTGTAGCTGTCATGGAGAGCAGAGTCAAACAACTCTATCAGAGTCCAGCTTCCTGGAGGCTTGCTGGTGCATGGATTTGATAACTGTGAAAAGATAATTATAGCTAACATAATCTGATATGTGATGATTTCACACTTCGTTATCAAGCTTTCCTTCGGGGGCCTCAAGACTTTAATGTGGAAGTGTTCACTGCTGCTGCAATCAAGAGGCAACTTAATGTCCGTCGGACGGGACGGGGACGGCTGTCCTTTCTACCTTTCCATCACTACTGCTTCTCTCTAATCTAGTTATAATCCACAGCAGAGTGCAACATGATGATGTCGATTTATTTTGGGTCATGGGCATGATTGGGCAACGCAGGAAATCACTTACTCAAGCAGATTACAGAAAATAAAGCAGGTTGTATGCTACAGCCATGCTAAGTCTCTTTGAGGCTGTGTTATGCTTCATGCTAACATGCTCACAGTGACGATGTCTGTTTAGCAGCAGCTACAATGTTTACAATGTTCATGTCTTAGTTTAGTGCGCTCGCATACTAACAATTGCCAATTAGCCATTAATATAAAGTACTGAGGCTGATGGGAATATCAATAGTTTTGCAGGTATTTAGTCATAAACCAAAAGTATTGGACTAATTAAAATGTTGGCCCGATAGCGGTGCTAGAGGCAGAGGATCACAGTCGGGTTCATCCTCTGGGAACCATGAATGTGAGATATCTTAATTTGGACCAAAATGGTGGACCTGAGGTTAAAAAGTGTATCTCTTTACACACACACACACACACACACACACACACACACACACTTACCACAGACCGACCCTCTAATTAGCCGTCTCAGATGAGGTTTATCAGGTAGATAGCGATACTTGCATCCGAACACGCTGAGGTTTGACGTATGGTCCCCAAAAAACCTGACAACAAGAAGTTTTTAAAGATTGAATGAGATCGTCACATAGAAAGAGGAGGAGTCAGAGAAAATAAAGTAAAAAATAACAAGATTCTAACCGTAGGTGTCGGTAGCGCTCTCCACAGCGGTAACAGAAGTTAGTGTTGCACTGCGTACATGTCATATGGTCACATCCCTCTGTACGCTGGATATGGATCTACAGATGTCGATGGAAGGAAAAAAAAAAGAAAAAAAAAGAAGAGATTTACTATACTTATTGATATAATTCACTCTTTTTGGTTTGGTCCCAGTTTGAATGCGTCATCGTGTTCTCCTTCCGGACTCACTTCATCGTAAAATGGGAACAATTCCCCAGTACTTAGCAGCACTAAAATGCAACACTGGCAGAGTTTACTACTCTCATTTTTCAAACAGGAAACGATCAGCATCTGGTTCAGCACCTATTGAGCTGCGCTGCAATATGCAAGCAGCGGCCCACTTAATGGATCCTCTCTGTTTGGCTGCTGCAGCAGTGAGCGGTCCGACTATAAACTGGGCATTAAGTTCAGCCGCTCTCAGCCTCTTTCCCAGCTGAACACAGCAGGGCGTCCCGGTCAAACGCAAT